CGCGATTTTTGCGGCGAAACTGCGATGGATCACAGGAGTTGGAAGTGCCCGATGAATACTGCGAGGTGTTGTTTAATCCTGCTGCGAATTCTGCTTGACAGTGAAGATTGAAAGACGACTGTTCGTGATTCTACTTGTTTCATGTTCAATGTCTATCAGTTATGAAATGCTCATTATTACCAGGAAGGTCTTTCAGGGCGTGACGAGCTTTTTGAAAACGGTCTTTTGCATGATATAGGGGCAGATGCGGGAACCACAGAACCATGTTCAATTTTTCCTGAACGGCCCTCTGAATACCAGAAAAGGAGGTCCCTAGTTCGATTCCTCTTGGTGACAAATTTTTCAAATGGGGCACTTGCAATTTTTGCGATCCGAATCATGAGCATTTCAATGAACTGATAGACATTGAACATGAAACAAGTAGAATCACGAACAGTCGTCTTTCAATCTTTACTGTCAAGCAGAATTCGCAGCAGGATTAAACAACACCTCGCAGTATTCATCGGGCACTTCCAACTCCTGTGATCCATCGCAGGTTTCGCGCAAATCGCGAAATCAGCGACGGATCGCGGACACTGACACCATGCATCTTACGCATCTCAAATATGCAACACGGGTGCGTTTAACCAGGAGAAAGGGACTTTTTCGCGGAATTAAGGTTCCCGCAGCGAAAAAAGTTTGGGGCTGCCGACGCGCGAACGCTTTTGGTCCCAGTGAACCACACCCATGCAACACTGTCCACACTTCAGAAAGAACCCAACAGTAAGGAAGAAAAAGAAAATCGTCCAGAGAACTAAAGTTCAATACCCTACGAAGAACTGCGAAGAGGAAAGTAACGTAAGTATACAATACAACACAAAAAAGTAATAAACACCAAGAACGAGTCACCTAAAGTTCCTCACACGTGTACTGAAAATAAAAACTGTTGAAATAATTACCTATTGTAGGCGTGTAGTTGTAGTCTGCATCAGATTGACAGCATCCAAAATTTCTTGCTGATTCGCTTCCTCTTGCCCCTCTTGCGAGAGTCCGCCAGAATCCAGCGTTGATCCATTTGACCCAAACATGATCAGCGGTGGACCTGAGGCTCCTGCAGCGAAAAATGTTCCGCGCTGCGAAACAGGAAAAAGTCGTTTTCTGCCCTAAGAAACCACACCCGAATAGGAACAGTGTTCAAAACGATATTAGGAGGAAATTCTAGTGTACAAAGGCAAACGTTACACTACTGTACTCCTTATTTTAGAAAGACAAGACTGAAACTCGTAAATGTTCGTGAGTTCTACTGGATTGGAAAACTTACTCGGTTTATGCTCTCGTTGAAGATTTTACTGGATCCCTCTTCCATAGTAAGGCGCTCCTTGCAAAACTGTTCTATCTCTCCATGTTTCATAGTCTCGTACAAGACGTGGAATCCAAGGTTGCTTTTCACCCTGAACACTGCCAATATTCTGACCTTATCAGACTGTATATTGATCAGGGCAAATATTCAGGCACGGGTGAATTGGAGAATGCAATTTTTATTAGGCTTACCCATATTCTCGTAGTCATGCTCCATGATGTCCGCAGCCATTATTGCGAGAGCAGATTGAACGTCATTTCACATGGAACACTTGAAGGCCCTGGAAACTTTTACTATGAAGATTTGAACGACGTTTTAAAAACCAACGCAATCGCTTTGAAAATTGGCAATACAATGTGCGTGAAAAAGGTCTTTCCATTACATTAACCTTCTATTAAGCGATTTAGATCATAAAGAAAAATGCCACCAATACTGAAAATAAAATAAAACTAGCACGGAATTGGCGAACATGAACAAAACACACTTAATAACAGCTGATGGGCCGTGCACCCCTGGGACAACTCGTCCAGCTAACCCCCTGCGACAACTTGTCCAGCTAACGACTACGTTGGCCGAGGCCCTGCGCACCGCCCTCTGCTAACGAACTTAATGGTGGTCCTATTTTAAGTATTCCTGACGTTTCTCGCTGCTTTTTCATTACTGCCACATTATTTAGCACCCCCACTTCCACTTCAGCCATGATCAAATCCTGTCGTAATCTCTCGCTTTAAGTCTAGCTGAGTGTTGCCTTGATGTTGAGTGGTTTGCGCAAAGAGCGCAGACGAGCAGAGCAGCGCGCCGCCGTGTGCCCACCAACCCGAGTTTCGAAATATTTGTTCAGGTCTTTTTTTATTTGATTGGGTACAATGTAATAACAGCAGAGATATCTTTCATACACTCTTTGATACTTTTGCAACTCATGTATTCAAACACTTTGTCGAGCAGCCCACTAGAGCTCAATTTGCCGGGCGTTCTCTTGAGTGACGAGTAGCTCATAAGTGATGTACAAGTAAAGTCACCAATGGCTATAGCGATCATTTCTGCGTTTCCTTCAGTATTTTAGAACAAATCGTTCCCTGCATTCTTGTTTACAAAAGATTTTTAGTAGTTACCTATACAATATTCAGTGGATGTAATGTGGATGTGGATGCCATGTAATATGTATCGTGTACATATGCTGTTATTTGTATTTTAATAGTTGCACTAACTAACCTCATTATTACCTCGTTTGGCAATACCTCATACTTATTCCACTCCCAATAGCCTCATCTATGCTGATATGTGAGTTATTCCTTTTTGAAAATTGTTATTGCACCGCCCTCGCTGCCGCCATTGATTTCCCGCGCAGCTCGTCTTTGCTTCTATCACTTCTGTACTCTATGCTTTGGCGGTTCTTTGGCTCCGCCTTCTCCCATAAATGAGCTGGGAAAGAGCCAAATCCGACTTAAGGAGGTTCTGTATTTCGCAACCGTCGTCTGCCTGCTAACGACTGCTGTATCGGATAAAGAAGTGAGTCATCAATACCTGTCCTATGAGCAAAAGAAAGGAAGGAACTTGATCCCTAGATATCTAGCTGAAGGGCTTCCTGACCAAACACCCTTTACTCCTTAGTTGATTCCCACTGTTGATGAAAAGTACACGATTTTTCTCTATTTTGAAGCATACTGTCGACTTGTTTGCTCCTTGTGGTTACACACTTCCGACAATCTCCCGCTCTATCTACAAAACATGATGGATCACAAGGATTCTCTTCTACAGTACGCCAAGCGGGGCGGTGAATGGACCGAGTACAAAGCTTTTTTGGCCATATTTTGTGATGAACTTATCAAATTCAACAGAACTAAGAAAAGAAGATTGTCGCATTCAAGAAAAAGCATCGCTTTTTCAAATTATGAGGCACTTAGGAGCAAATCACTGCTCACGGTCGCTATTATTAGTGCGCTTGTGAACAATTACGATGTGGACCGAAATACTATTCTGCGTTTGAGATGCGCCATGCACTCCTTCGTGGTCAAGAAGGAAGTTCAGAGAAGTGAAGAAGAAGTCAGAAGTTACACCTATCACTTACTGTGCGGCCGCAAACGTTCTGATTGTAATGGTTTGCGCTGTGAGGCTGAGCGCAAAGCTGCAATCTAAATGAACAGAAATAGATTTTATAAAAGATTTGCTATTTTACTCAATAATTTCAATTAAGTTATTTGTAAATGTAAATGTATAATTTATAAGGGGTCTGGATAACAAGGTAGTCTAGTTTCCGTTTCGCACATGCCCTTAGACGGAAACTAGACGTATTGAGTATCCTTCCTCTGTGCTCATTAGTAACCTCCCTACCTCATCAAACCCACTGGCCCAACCATCTTTAACGTCTTTGTTTCACACTATTTAATGTTGCAGAACCTTTTAGCCCAGCTTGACGTTATCCACACATTTAGGCCCCTCATAACGTTGAACTATTCCCTACACTTCTACACACATGAACACCTCCACGGCGACGACGACGTTGACTCCTGCGCATATGATTCCCCCACTCTTTTTCCGCCGGCCGCTTAAAACCCGGGGGTACGGATTGATTTATTTAGTACATGAGCCAGTGCACATGCGTGAAGTATAAAACAGAAAACATGAAAAAGCACCAAAAACTCCAAAGAACAAGAATTCATTGATGTCTCAGACCTTTAAAACGAATAATACAACAAATTATACCAGGAAAAATCTCAAAAACGCGCACTGTTGAAAGACAATCAAACGCAGCAGCATAAAATTGAAGAAGATAACAAAACTAAAGGGGAGCAGAAAGTAACCGAAGAACACCGTTTACAGTGAGAAATAGGTCACTAGTTTGCGAAATCAAGCCAACGCCTTAGGCATGCTCCCTCCATGTTCAATAATTTTATATAAGCGTGGAACACGCACGATGGCAAAAGACAATATTGATCTGCAGGCCCTCGAGTAAGGGCCCTAGCAATCGTTTAGCGTCGCGCATTTCCCGCGCGAGCCACAGAAAATGCTCCTGTCATGAAAAGCAGTTTATTCCTGTCAACTGATACAGTACTCGCCGTTTGAAGTCAAAAATTCGTCCGAATCCCGCTATTTTGCGTTATTGTTATTTCCGTGAATTTTTTATAACTCGGTTCAAAATTGAGTCTTTCAAAATTGGAAGGATGAATTTATGTCAGCTCTTTAGGAACTACAGGAGGCCAAAAAAAAAAAAGACATTTTGTCCAGGTCGCTTTTGGCCTTTTTTTCTTCTTCGCAGAGGCTGCCGTCGTTGACGGATGTTCCTCAGCAAAATATTCTCGTGAATGCCGGGTCCTTCTATACAGTACACGCATCCCAGTCCCTCCTTAACCCTCCCTTACCCTCACCGTCTTCGAAATAATGCGGAAACCGTCATCTGTTACCGTCGTCCTAAGTCAATGGAACCCTACCAGTAACTGCTTCAGCCTGAAAGGCTTCTTACATAATCCTTATCCGGTCGACTACAACACTAGTGGCGAGCAACACTCCACGGGCAATCGCCCTCCCGGAACCCGTGCGTAACGCCGCTGCACGGATCCCAGCCTCGAGACACCCCATTTGATCCCGTGAAGCTGCGATCCAAGAGCGCGCTAGATGTTCGAGGCCAGAGTATTTTCTTGATCGCCGGCCACGTAGCCATGGCTCATGAAGATGTTCTTCGTGTGAAAGAATGCGCCCTTAAATTTCCTGGAGTTGAGCAACACACGCTTTCAGCCCTGAGCAAAGTGTGGACTTAAATCAAGAAATCTGCCGGGGCGACAAAATTGATCCTGTTTTATTGCCCTCTCTGTATAAGAATGCGCTTTCAAATTTCAGAAAAGCTTCATAAAGAATTGCGCCGTGCACTCGAGTTTTATCTCGGAAGTGACCGATTGGTTGTTATGTGTACATAATCACAGTAGTTATGCCTGATCGTTCTATAGAATGACGGGCTCCAGGACTCGGCTCAGAATGGCGCCACGTACTCAACTTTTGTCTATCCACATTAAATTTGAATTTTTCAAGTCTACCATTACATTTCAATTTAAAGCGTGTGGTTAGATGTGTAGTCTCTGGGACCCATACTTCCTTCCTTCGCGTCCGCATTGTAATCTTAGATCAGAAACCAGCAGAATTAGTATACCTACTTTGTGAACGAAAACGCTTCTTCGAATCGTTAGAAGGGGTGACCGATGCATCTCTTCAACTTGTCATAGAATTGACTGGATGGCGAAGCTTGTGCACAATGACTAGAATTACTGTCTAGAGAAATTAGATGACATACTTGGCGGCACCTGTATGTTTCTTCCGTGGCGTGGCTCCAAACATCACTGCGCGTCATGCCCTTGTGAAAGAACCACCTTTTTGGTTTGTCCAAACTTTACAAGCTGAGGCACCTAGGAAGGCGGCTTTGAAGGACGAGTTCAATATGGTCCGTCAGCCGCCCTGCAGCGCGGCCACTGCGCGTCAGGCGCTCTCCTCGGCTGAGCACGGCGGACATTCTTACAATAGCTAGACGGGCACGCGATAGTGGTGGACTCTTAGACTGAGCCTCGGAGAAGCGAAGCAATTCGAGAGAAATGCGAACTGCTGTTCGCACTTTAACCCATAACGGACGGCGTGCGCCACAAGGTGGCGCACGACTATTTCTTTTGTTTTTGGAATGTTTCTAGCAATCTTAATATACCCATATATACTCTCAGCAATGTGGAATAACATATCTTCCCAGGACCTGGACGGCTGGATTTTTGACAAACCTACAATAAATTTTACATACATTTTGTCTTAATTTACATAAGTTTACTATTTGATGGGTGGCTTACCCATGGTTCGCACGTCCCGAGACCCCTTCCCCTAAATATAGCCACATCCTTGCTCGGGGTTGTTGTTTCGCATTTTTCGATAATGTCACCTACAGCTTCCATTCATTCTTTGCACCCTAGTTTTAGAGCGGAAAGGCGGGCTTACGAACTTGTCGTCAACGGAAATCTCTTTTTTGGATGATGAGACTCCGACACCTACTTTAGCCCCGTCTTACCCCTGCTGTTCACATA